GCGACCGGCGCGCGTCGCGGGGACTCCGCGCTGCGCTGCGCCCGCGGCCTTTGATTTTTGGAGTGCGCGGGCAAAGAGGGAGGAAAAGGAGGGACGAAAGCGGGCGCGATCCTCGCAAGGGGCGTGCCGACATGGGCGTCGCGGCGTGCGGGCGCTGCCGTCGGGGTTCCCGCGGAAGCTGCCTGCGGCGGCCACGCCCAGAGTCACGAGCGTTCGGACAGGCATGCCCGAACCATTCACATTCATATACATTTACATTGGGCGTGGCCATGATGGCATCCACGCAAATCTACTCACTCCCACGCAGACTCATTCACACTCAGACTCACTCACGGTCTGACTCGCCCGCGTTCAGTCTCTCGTAATTCGACCTGTCGTATTCCTTTGCATTGTGTACCCCGCCACAGTTCGGCACACCCCTCATACGGTTCGTGGCCTCATAGGGAGCGCCACCGAAGAAGATATTCACAATTGCGGTGCTCACAACTGCATATGGTTGGGTCCTTCGCCAGGATAATTTGGTTTGGCTTGTGCGGGGCGTTTTCGACGCCACGCCAGGTGTTTTTTGGGGTCTCGGGCGACGCCTTTGTCTATCCAATGTCGGCCTGGGCTGGCCACTTCAGGTGCCTCCGCGGACGCGTTGTTTTTTTGTTTGCGCGCCAGCCTTCTGTGTTGTCTGGTCCACGACTCGGGCGTCCGCGGCCGCGACCCACTATGCGTGTTTTTTTTTTGGGTTTCGGGGCACCATATTGTTTTTTCCCAACCATCCTGTGGTGTTGGGTCCTCGTTTTGAAGAGACAGCGCCCCGCGTCCACTCCTCCCGCTGCCCCCTTCCTCCTCCCCCTCCTTGCCTCTGCTCTCGGCACACCTCTCACGCGTTTCGTGGCCCCATAGGGAGCTCCACCGAAGGCCCCAGTGGGGGTGTCCACATGCGGTTCCCCCACCCAGGGCAGCGTTTCGTAGCCCCAGAGGGAGCTCCACCGAAGGCCCCAGTGGGGGGTCCACATGCGGTTCCCCCACCCAGGGCAGCGTTTCGTAGCCCCAGAGGGAGCTCCACCGTAGGCCCCAGTGGGGGTGTCCACATGCGGTTCCCCCACCCAGCCCCATAGGGAGCTCCACCGCCCCAGTGGGGGTGTCCACATGCGGTTCCCCCACCCAGGGCAGCGTTTCGTAGCCCCATAGGGAGCTCCACCGAAGGCCCCAGTGGGGGTGTCCACATGCGGTTCCCCCACCCAGGGCAGCGTTTCGTGGCCCCATAGGGAGCTCCACCGAAGGCCCCAGTGGGGGTGTCCACATGCGGTTCCCCCACCCAGGGCAGCGTTTCGTGGCCCCATAGGGAGCTCCACCGAAGGCCCCAGTGGGGGTGTCCACATGCGGTTCCCCCACCCAGGGCAGCGTTTCGTGGCCCCAGAGGGAGCTCCACCGAAGGCCCCAGTGGGGGTGTCCACATGCGGTTCCCCCACCCAGGGCAGCGTTTGGCGTAGCCCCAGAGGGAGCTCCACCGAAGGCCCCAGTGGGGGTGTCCACATGCGGTTCCCCCACCCAGGGCAGCGTTTCGTAGCCCCATAGGGAGCTCCACCGAAGGCCCCAGTGGGGGTGTTCGCATGCGGTTCCCCCACCCAGGGCAGCGTTTCGTGGCCCCATAGGGAGCTCCACCGAAGGCCCCAGTGGGGGTGTTCGCATGCGGTTCCCCCACCCAGGGCAGCGTTTCGTAGCCCCATAGGGAGCTCCACCGAAGGCCCCAGTGGGGGTGTTCGCATGCGGTTCCCCCACCCAGGGCAGCGTTTCGTGGCCCCATAGGGAGCTCCACCGAAGGCCCCAGTGGGGGTGTTCGCATGCGGTTCCCCCACCCAGGGCAGCGTTTCGTGGCCCCATAGGGAGCTCCACCGAAGGCCCCAGTGGGGGTGTTCGCATGCGGTTCCCCCACCCAGGGCAGCGTTTCGTAGCCCCATAGGGAGCTCCACCGAAGGCCCCAGTGGGGGTGTTCGCATGCGGTTCCCCCACCCAGGGCAGCGTTTCGTGGCCCCATAGGGAGCTCCACCGAAGGCCCCAGTGGGGGTGTTCGCATGCGGTTCCCCCACCCAGGGCAGCGTTTCGTAGCCCCATAGGGAGCTCCACCGAAGGCCCCAGTGGGGGTGTTCGCATGCGGTTCCCCCACCCAGGGCAGCGTTTCGTGGCCCCATAGGGAGCTCCACCGAAGGCCCCAGTGGGGGTGTTCGCATGCGGTTCCCCCACCCAGGGCAGCGTTTCGTAGCCCCATAGGGAGCTCCACCGAAGGCCCCAGTGGGGGTGTTCGCATGCGGTTCCCCCACCCAGGGCAGCGTTTCGTGGCCCCATAGGGAGCTCCACCGAAGGCCCCAGTGGGGGTGTTCGCATGCGGTTCCCCCACCCAGGGCAGCGTTTCGTAGCCCCATAGGGAGCTCCACCGAAGGCCCCAGTGGGGGTGTTCGCATGCGGTTCCCCCACCCAGGGCAGCGTTTCGTGGCCCCATAGGGAGCTCCACCGAAGGCCCCAGTGGGGGTGTTCGCATGCGGTTCCCCCACCCAGGGCAGCGTTTCGTGCCCCATGGGAGCTCCACCAGTTCGCATGCGCTTCCCCCACCCAGGGCAGCGTTTCCACCGGGAACCGAAGGCCCCAGTGGCGCAGTTCGCATGCGGTTCCCCCACCCAGGGCAGCGTTTCGTAGCCCCATAGGGAGCTCCACCGAAGGCCCGCCCCGGTGGCGCAGTCCGCATGCGGTTCCCCCATCCAAGGCAGCGCTTCGTGGCCCCATATGGAGCCCCACCGAAAGCGGCACCCACAACGCGTTACCAACAATTGCTTATGGTTGGGTCTTTCGCCAGGATAATTTCATTTTTGGGCGAGGGCCGCCCCTGTTGGCCATGCCGACGCTTGCGTTTCAATGGCTTTCGGGCAGCCTTCTGTGTCTTGCTCATCGGCCCGAGCGGGCCCTCCCAGAGGTGGTCCGACGCGCACGTTGTTTCTCCGCCGCCGCCGTTGGTATTCGCCTCTTCCTGCGCGGAGATGTTCGTCGGGCCGGCTGGGGGCTCTCCGGGGTTACCACGACGTCTCTGTTTTGTTTGTGGTCGGGGCACGGGTTCCCGTGATGCTTTTTCTCGGAAGGCCCGCGCGAGCGCGATCTTCCCTACGAGCCACCCTGTCCGCAGCGTTTCCAGCTCTTGGTGCGACCCGCCTCCCTGCAGTTCCCAAGGGGTCCCGAGGTACCGGGAGTCTTCGTTCCCTCCTCCGTGAGCTCTTCGGTTTTCCCCCGCTCGCTTGAAACTCTGAAAATCTCGGAGGTCGAAGTTTTGTCCGAGTCGGGACAATCTCGGATTTTGCGGACTCTCTAGTGCTTGACATTGGCGTTAGCAGCGCCTTGAAGTCATTATTCGAGGGTCTCGAGCATGTTTCCCCTCCTGTAGCTTCTTGGCTCTATCGAAGGGGCTGTGCTCAGGGGGGGCTGTGCCATATAGTGCCACAGTCTGTTCCCGTTCCATAGCTCGGGTGGTGAGTTGAGACAGCTTTCTTGGCCGGGAATGGCGAAACGCCCATTGACCTGGGTTCCAGGTCAGACCCATTGTGTTGTTGCCTTGATTTTGCGCTGGCCATGGAGCTCACAATATGGTGGTTGAATGAACGAGCTACATCATCATCATCATCATCATCATCATCATCATCATCATCATCATAATCATCATCATCATCATCATCATCATCATCATCATCATCATCATCATCATCATCATCATCATCATCATTATCATTATCATTATCATTATCATTATCATTATCATCATCATCATCATCATCATCATCATCATCATCATCATCAGCATGATCAGTTTCACTTTCATTCGCGTTACCACCATCAGCATCACCCAAATCCTCGTCCTCATCCTGGTCATGACCATCATCTGCAGCCTCATCGGCATCAGTATCAGCACTGTCACCGTCATCAGTCACATTTCGGCACACCACTCACACGTTTCGCGTCCCCATAGAGAGCTCCACCGAAGGCCTCATTGGCTGGGGATCGTATGGCACTGCCGCGCCCATTTCGATACACCACTCACACGAATGCCACCTTTCGTTTTGAAGCCTCACAGGGAGCTCCACCGAATGCCCCAGTGGGAGGGTTGGCATGGCGCCGCCGCGCCCATTTCAGCACGCCGCTCACACTCTTCGTGGCCCAATAGGGAGCTCCACCGAAGCTTCCAGTAGAAGGGTACGCATGGCGCCGCCGCACCGATTTCGGCACACCGTTCACGCGCGTTGTGGCCCCATACGGAACTCCACCGAAGGTTCAGTAGAAGGGTATGCATGGCGCCGCCGCGCGCATTTCGGCACACCCCACACACGGTCTTGGCCCCATAGGGAGCTTCACCGACGGCCCCACAGAGAGGGTTGGCATGGCGCCGCTGCGCGCATTTCGGGACACGCCTCATACGCTTCCTGACCACAGGGAGCTGAACCGGATGTCCCGGCGGGAGGGTTCGCATGACGACGCCGCACCCATGTCAGCGCACCCCAGTGGGAAGGGTCGCATGGCGCCGCCGCGCCCAATTCGGCACACCTCTCACACGCTTTGTGGCCTCATGGAGCCCCACCGAAGGCACCAGTGGGAGGGTTCGCACGGCGCCGCCACTCCGATTTCGCCATGCCCCTCACGCGTTTCGTGGCCCCACAAAGAGCTCCGTCGAAGGCCCCAATGGGAAGGTTCGCATGGCGCCGCCGCGCCCAATTCGGCACACCCCTCACACGCTTAGTGGCCTCATGGAGCCCCACCGAAGGCACCAGCGGGAGGGTTCGCACGGCGCCGCCACTCCGATTTCGCCACACCCCTCACGCGTTTCGTGGCCCCACAGGGAGCTCTGCCGAATGCTCCAATGGGAGTGTTCGCATGGCGCCGCCGCGCCTATTTCGGCACACCTCCACACATTTCGTGCCCCCCTCATTCGTCTCACATGCGTCGCGCTGCTCGCAGATGCACATGGTTGGGTCCATCGCTTGGATAACTCATTCTACATGTCTTTGATTCGTCCTGGTACATTTCGAACTTCGGCCCCTCTCGAATCGCTGGTGATGGTACTCCGTCGAGGCTTCTGGTGCACGTAGCTGCTCACCTATTCATCGCGCACCGAAATCTCCAGGAACAGGTCGCGTGATCTCAGATTTGCCATACCTTGTGTTCGTTCTGACCTTCGTTTTCGGCGCTGCATTGCCTGAACTTGTTTTGCAACTATTTGGGGAAGTCATGCTCATCATGTTAGACGAGCACGGTGCGCCATTATAGGTTTCAATACTTCTAAGTTTTGCATGTGGTCGATCCATGCGCCTGAAAGGTACGATTAGGACGTCAACCACTATGTTCCACATCGTTTGACTCGTGCTGGCACATGGCCACGGTCGATTAGATGTTCGGTCTTAACGTAATTAATGGCGCACTCCCCATGATGTCAACGTGTATTCGTCTCGGAGTTGTGGGTTATCATGTGCGACAGCGCGTTGGACGAGCAGTGTTAAAATAGTGCGATGAACTCACGGCCAGGGCGAGCACACATAGAGGGATACTTACCACTCCTGGCGGTGCTGCGACCTCGCGGATCATGCTGGGTCTTGCCGCGATTCTGGCATGCGTCGGAGGACGGCTCGTCCACGGCCCTGTCCAGACGCCCTTGCATTTGGTGAAGCTTGATACGTATGTCCTCAGCCTGGAGCTCGGCTTACGCTGTAGTTGGCTCACGTGTCCACGCCGTCAAATGCCCTCGAATATCGATCGGATCGCATGTTTGGGGGGAAGGGTCTTGGAGCCGAGAGCGAACCTGCGACGAAGGGCTTTGTGCTGACCACCGTTCCATTAGATGCGTCTTCACGGTATCTATGTTGGCGCAGTCGTTCTACGTTTGCTATTGGATTGCGCCCTGGTCACTGGAGCATCTCCGCATAAGCAGTCGCTGCCTTGATCTGATCAGCCGTCCAGGCCGCTCCAGACAGGAAGCGCCTCGCTGGCGAACGGGTGTATTGCCCGGTCCGGCGGCCTGAAGGGGCTCGGTGCCCGGCCAGTGCGGGCCGAACCCCGCGCCAGAAACAGGTGAAGGCAGATCGGGCGGACGGCAACGGGGTTCACCGAGCGCGTTCCACTATTCGCAAAGTGCCCACTCGCAAACGTCCAAAAAACACATGCCTGCTTCGACGTAATTTATCGTAGATCGCCCATGGCGGATCCAGGCCATTTGCGAGCAGTTACCGTGCGAGTAGTGGAACGCGCTCGTCTAGGGGTAGCAAAAAACGCAGGGAGGTCTGGGAGTCCAGGAGAAGGTGGCCCTAAAAGGAGGAAGAGGAGGAGGAGGAGGAGGAGGAGGAGGAGGAGGAGGAGGAGGAGGAGGAGGAGGAGGAAGAGGAGGAGGAGGAGGAGGAGGAGGAGGAGGAGGAGGAAGAGGAGAGGAGGGGGATGGAGGAGGAGGAGGAGGGGAGGAGGAGGAGGAGGAGGAGGAGGAGGAGGATGCGGATAGTCACGGGGTGGCAATCAGCGCGGGGGGGTCGAGGATTCCAGGAGAAGGTGGCCCTGAAGGGACCCTCAACACAGCCCCCGAACTGCCACCGCGGGCCCCAGAAAGTGCGCGCTTCTGCACCCCACGCTTTTTGATGCCTATTGGTCTTACGAGGAGGAGGGGGAGGAGGAGGAGGAGGAGGAGGAGGAGGAGGAGGAGGAGGAGGAGGAGGCGGAGGAGGAGGAGGAGGAGGAGGAGAGGAGGAGGAGAAGGAGGAGTCGAGGAGTCCAGGAGAAAGTGGCCCTGAAGGGACCATCAAACCAGCCCCCGAACTACCACCGCGGGCCCCAAGAAATGCGCGCTTTTTCACCCACGTTTATGTGTCTACTGTCTCAGGGAGGAGGAGGGAGGAGGAGGAGGAGGAGGAGGAGGAGGAGGAGGAGGGGGAGGAGGAGGAGGGGAGGAGGAGGAGGAAGGAGAGGGAGGAGGAGGAGGAGGAGGAGGAGGAGGAGGAGGAGGAAGGGTGGAGGAGAGGGGAAGGATGAAGAGGAGGAGGAAGGAGGAGGAGGAGAGGAGGAGGAGCAGGGAGGAGAGGAGGAGGTGAGAGGAGGAGGAGGAGGAGGAGGAGGAGGAGGAGGAGGAGGCGGACGGCAACGGGGTGGCAATAAACGTGGGGAGGTCGAGGATTCCAGGAGAAGGTGACCCTGAAGGGACCCTCAACACAGCCCCCGAACTGCCACCGCGGGCCCCAGAAAGTGCGCGCTTCTGCACCCCACGCTTTTTGATGCCTATTGGTCTTACGAGGAGGAGGGGGAGGAGGAGGAGGAGGAGGAGGAGGAGGAGGAGGAGGAGGAGGAGGAGGAGGAGGAGCATCAGGAGGAGGGGGGTCGAGAAGGGGGGGGGTCGAGGAGTCCAGGAGAAAGTTGCCCCGACGGGACCCTCAAAGCAGCCCCCGAACTGCCACCGCGGGCCCCAAGACGTGTGCGCTTCTGCACCCAACGCTTATTGATGTCTATTGGTCGTACGAGGAGGAGGAGGAGGAGGAGGAGGAGGAGGAGGAGGAGGAGGAGGAGGAGGAGGAGGAGGAGGAGGAGGAGGCGGAGGCGGAGGCGGAGGCGGAGGCCCGAGGCGCCCGTTTTGGGAAGCAGCCCGATCGGCCACGACCCCAGCCCCGTGAGAGGGGCGCATTTCAGCGGGACGCGCGTGCAGCCGCGATCTCGCTCGCCCGCGTGGCATCGCCGTGAGCGGAGGCGCAGGGCAGAGTCTCGACAGCGCCTTAGACGCGAAGTGGACATCGCCCGCCTGGAGAGCCATCACGGGAGTGCTGTGCCGACGATGGCCAAGGGCAGCGGCCAGGGGGGCAAGGGCAAGGCCAGCAACAAGAACGGCGACACGAAGAGCGCCGCACAGGTTGGACCAGCGGGTGGTCACAAAGCCCGCCCAGCCCGAGGTCACCCCCCAGCCCACTCATGGACGTGCTCACATTGCGAGGTGACCGTCAATCTCACCAAGGAGTGGTGCTGGCAGTGCGGGCAGCACTGGAAGGCGCCAAAGTCACTACAGCCTGCCGACGCTCAGGCCTGCCCGTGGCGGGCGAACGTGCAGCAGGACAGCCCGACAGATGACAAGGGCACGGACTACAGCGGGGTCATCCAAAAGATCCAGGCGGCGTACGACGCAGCCGAGAAGGTCGGGAAGGTTGATGCCAAACCATTGCAAGCAGTTCTAGACATGGTCCGTGCCCAGCGTGATTCTGAGAAGACACCGATGCAGATGGCTCAGTCAATAACCCAGAAGCTCGGGCAAAAGCAAAAGGCTCTGGAACGCCACAAGTCAGCCCTCGAAGAGTTCACTCAGGAGGCGTTGGAGGCGGAGTTGAAGCTAGCCATGAAGAAGGAGAAGGTCGCGAAGGAGGAGGCAGCCATCGAGGCCTGCATCAGCGACATCGCGAGGCTGGGGGAGGAGCAGAAGCTGTGGCTCGGCAAGGCTCGGGGAGAGCAGCAGCCCAAGCCAGCAGCGGCACAGGTGGCCGAGTCCTTCAACGGGCTTCAGGCGGCCTTGGAGGCGCTGGGCTCGGCGGCTGCTGGGGACCCCAGCCTCGTCCGCGCGTTCACCGACTTCGCCGCGGCGCTGAAGGCACACGGGCAGCAGGTGCCTGCGGCCACCCAGGCCCCCGCCGAGGGCCAGCAGCCGCCTCCAGGGGCCACTGCCGCCGCCGCGCCCGACGGGACAGCAGGCGGAGGCGGACCCTCACCAGCCAAGCTGGACGGAGGCGCCCCCCCCTACCGCGGTGACAGCAGCTCGGCCGTCAGGGCAGAGTGCGACCGCGCATGGAGGGACTCAGGTGAAGACGTCAGCCACCGCAGCCGCCTCTGCCCCATTGAATGGCGGGGAAGAGAATGTGGAGGAGGGGGGCGAGGCCGAGGGCGTAGCCGCTCTCGTGGGTGACCATTTCGCCTCGCCCCCCCCCCCCCCTTCAGCTGCCTCAGCCAACAGAAGGGGGAAGACAGGTGCGGCTCTTTGAAATTTTGCACCGTCAACGGGTCCTGCTGGACCACAATATCCGATTTCCTGGCATCCTGCAATGCGTCTATTGTGTTTGTTCAGGAACATAAGCTTAGTTTAGTTGGTACTTTAGAGGCCAGACAGAAGCTCAGTAGGAGGGGCTGGGCTTCGTTCTGGGCACCCTGTCCACGTGGGCCCGCTGGTTTCCCGAGCGGGGGTGTAGGCATCATTGCTCGCAAGCACCTAGACCTTTGGGTAGACCCCCGCACTCTTGGCATTTTATCCCCAGGCAGGCTTCTGCATGTGTATTTTAGAACCAAGGCACACGGACTTATCAGCCTATATTCGAACTACTGGGTCTCTGGAACGGGTCTGGGACCAGCGAATATCTGGCTAAATATGACCTTGGGACAACACATCCTGGAGACGGATACGCCGTTTGCTGCGGGGGGTGATTTCAACGTTAGCCCCGATGTACTAGAGCATGCACTGGCACCAGGCAGACTCGGAGGAGCAATTTGCAGACCAGATGCGCCGACGCTCGTGCAGGGCGACCACACTTCCATGACAGATTTCTTCATTTGCAGTCGAGTGCTCACGCATGGAGTTCGTGATTGCAAAATTGATCTCAGAGCCCACGTCCCACCGCGCCGACCAGTCTACCTGGACATCGTCGAGGACACCCAGGGTCTCAAAGTTTTGAAGCTGTGCAAATACAAAAAGACCGGGGTCTCCCAACCTGTGGGCCCCAACCCCGCCCCTCCCGAGTATGAGGACCTCTTGGATTCCCTATCAGGGCCCTTGGAGGACCTTCAGGAGGAACCTGGACAGCTACATCCTGTCCCCGCTGGATGAGCTGCTGAGTTTCAGGAGCTCCAGGACAGGGCGTTCACTACTTGGGTCGGTAGGGTGTGGACGGAACTAGAGGCCATATTTCAATGTGATGGCGCCGATCGGCGCCAGCAGGGGGGCACGCCATATCGTTTCGTCCAGGTCTCGCTTGCCAAGTTACTCGTTACCCGCAGCAGTCCGTATAAATCCGCGTCGAGGGCAATGGGGTGGGTTGCTCGTCGTCTTCAGGAATTTCGGAGTCTGCTCAGGAAAGGCGTGACCCCCGACAGCTCGCAGTATTTTGGCAGGCTTGCACGCGATGCAGCACGAGGGCTACGCCTCCCCTTCCGTCGGCACTGGCCTGAAGGGGAAGCTTTCTGGAAGCCCATTTTGAAGTACTTCGGTCTTGGCCTCTGCAGGCTCAGGTGGCGCCCCTGGGACACAGCCTTGGAGGAGCTGGAAGCCTGGGCCGCTCTGGCAAAAACCTTGGAGGACCTCGCGTTCAAAAAGGAGAAGACCCAGAAGAACGAATCCTGGAAGACCTGGTGTTCGGAAGCTTTGGAGGGCGGGGCCCGCTGGGCCCATGCTTATACCAAACCGCCGTCACATTTCAGGGAAGACGTTCTAAAGACCGAAGATGGGCAATATACATGTGCATGCAGTGCTCGTTTTCAGGCTCAGCAAGACCTGTGGAGCTCAGCCTGGAGGACAACCACAGAACCGCCTACCAGATGGACCCCGCAGCTGCCGCCAGACACCCTGATACCGCGTGCCCCTGATGGTGAGGACCTCAGGAGAATATCAAGTGGTTTAAGAAGCACACCGTCGCCACGGACGGGATCCGCCCGCGACACTTCAGCCTGCTGTGCCCTGCCGCGCTCCAGGTTATGTCTCGCATCATGTCTGTGCAGGTGGCGCTGGGAAAAGGGCCCACCCAGCTCCGCGTCCTGCTGGTCCAATTGTTCGAGAAGCCTGTGCCGGGGAGGAGACCGATTGGTTTTTTTCCAGAGCTATTCCAGGATGGTTTCCAAGGTGCTGAGTCGGGACTGTAAAACCTGGGAGGGCTCCGTGAGACATCTGGAGGCTTTCAACATGGGGCCTGGCAGGTCCACCACCGACGGGGTTTGGCGCCAAGCTGTTAGGTCCGCTCTTGCCGATGACACAGGTGAAGCGGCCAGCACTCTACTATGCGATTTGAAGCAGTGCTACGAGCACGTCGGCCACGAGCAGCTGTGGAATGAGTGTAGCGGGACGTCTTATCCTTTACACTGTCTACGGCTTGCCATCGACAGCTACACGTGGCCGCGTGTTCTCACCGTGGAGAGAGTTTGCTCCCCTCTGCTGTGCCCCACCAGGGGGATCGTAGCGGGATCTAGCACCGCCACATTTGAGATCAAGGGGTACATGGTCCCGACTGTGGAAGGGATCTAGGAGGTGGAAGGGGACGAGTTTCACTATTCACGTTGTTGATTTGGAGTTTGACTCGCACCATATGGTGCCGATGGAGTGCCTCAATCGTCTATGCAGTATTGCGAGCCAGTTGATTGAGGCGTGCTCGTACAGGCTGGGGCTACCTATCGCTTTGAAGAAAGGTTGCTTCACGACCAACAACCAGGAGATTATGGATTTGGCTCCACAAGCCCTGGGCATGCACGGTTTCACTCTGGCGGGGGAAGTTGTGAACCTGGGGGTGGATTTCTCGGTGGGCGCCCTCGGGAAGAAGCGTTCGACCAGGACTCTGCCGTCTGGGGCCCCTGGCCGATTGGTGAAACGCAGGGCCCGATGGGCCAATGCCCTCAGGAGAATGCCAAACATCAAGGGGATGCGTGGTAAAGCGGGAGCCAAAGCCAAGTTGTTTTTCATGGGCCAGAAGCCGAGCATCACGTACGGCAGCGACGTGGTTGCTTTGTCAGCCAAGGATGTGCACAGGCTACGAGCATTGGGGGCAAAGGCGCTAGGTATCTGGAGCCCTGGAGCCTCCATGGACCTGATCTGGGCCACCTCCCCCTTCCAAGGACCCCATCCTACATGCTGGTGACACGGTGGTACGGTATGCTAGGGAACGGTGGGAGGCGGGAGATGATGACATTCGAGCGGTTGATGGCCTATCGGCAGGCCAGTTGTCGAAGGCTTGCCACGGTTGCCTGGAGAGGCTGGCGGCCATGCCTGTACCACAGGGATGGAGGCGCCGAGGCGCACATCCCATCCTTGACGCGCTTTTGTGGGGAGTCGAAGCGGGGTGGACGTATACAGGGCCTGCTTCATTTACATCGCGGGATGGGGCACAGGTTCGGCTCGCCGACTCCCCACCTACGCTGGCGCAGAAGATTTTCATTCAGGATTTGAAGAAGTTCCTGGACGATGCCATGTTGCGTTTGCTGGAACGGGAAAACCGCCCCAGGGCCCTGGACATAAAGTTGAGGGGCCTTTGGACCGAGCCCATCCAGT